TAAATATGTGCAGCACTCCTGCATGTCCTCCCAATGAAACGACTATTTTACAGATGGACAATAACCTTCCATCTGGAGGCGCTTCCTAGGACACCCGAAGTACTTCAGAATCTCTTAATCTCGCTGGTTGTATCTGGGGAAGGGAATGTTGTTGGTGAGTGGATGTCTCCTCCAAAGAATTCAAATAAGAACCTCGAAAACATGAACTACTGAATATTTAAATTAAAAGACCGTGGGGTTGGAGAGATGACTCAGTGGCTGAGAGTGGCTGCTCTTCCAGAAGAGCAGAGTTCAGTTTCCAGCATCCACATGACAGCTTGTAATCATCTGTAACTCCAGTTCCAAAGGATCGCATGCCCTCTTCTGGTCTCAGCAGGCGCTAGGCACCTAAACTGTGTGCAGACACACATGCAGGGAAATAACCATACGCATAAAATAAAAACAAATGAAATTGTACAGACTGAAAGAACTCCGAAATGAGCTTCTAGAACAACAGAGCCAGGACCTCAGAAAATCCAGGCCTCAAGAAAAGCAATGAAAACGTGAACAAAAAATTTTCAAAATAAGCCTTTCCCTGGAAAGTTTGTTCAAATCTCATCTTAATTTTACTGAGATGGGTTGGTTTCTCGCCTGGCCTTGATCCTTCCTGCGACAAACATCAAACCAAAGCCTCAAAGTCAGTTACTGGGAAACCCTGATGGAGGAGGGGTCAGGAAGAACTTGGATCCCCAAGTTTTATCCCAGAGGATTGTCAATTGCCCTGGGAATGGCCTCTGAAAGCCTACACGACAGGGCTTATTTTTACTGGACAATACTCAGAGCTTACTCATTTAAAAGAAAATAACAACAGCAACAAAACGGAAGGATAATTAAACATTGCCACTGTGTGATATAAAGAAAATATTTGGGATGAGTAGGAATCTAGGGCATAACATGTAAATCAGTTGAAGAGTCTCTTGATATCCGTGAGGCCCTGGGTTCAGCCCTTGGCATCACTAAAAGGAACTACATACAAGGAACTGGCAAAAGCACATATACGCAAAGGTGGTGGAATACCACGCCCACGTGGGGCTTTGTGAAGCCCCAGCTTCTCCAGGAAGGAAGGCCAAGCGCGTGTGCAGAGCTATGTGCGCTCAGAAGAAACTCCTGAGAGTGACACAGACTAATACAGTTTCACAGTCCTTGGGAACCCACTGAGAAAATAACTGGATGGAAGGAAGGAAATGAAACAGTGCGCTATAAAATATTTACTTAACATGGAGATAAGCAGTAATTTGGAAGAAATGAACGTTGGAAAGGATATGAGACAAAACACAAGCAGCAAAATGATAAGATGGCATCGAAAGATGACCTTGGAGTGATTATTAACTATGAATGGGTTAAACACTTCAGACAGAGGTAGACATTGGCAGAACAGATATTTTAGATGACCATAGTGTATGCACACTTTAGACTCAACCCCTAACTAAGAAGCTGTCTTCAAATGATACCCACTGGCAACAGGAAAATCAGTTTTCTCCCATGAAGACACAGTAGGTAGATTAACCCCACTGCAGGACAGGGTCTGTGCTCAGTAGTAGTTGGCCAGCACAAAATTAACTCATTGTTTTGTTTTGTTTTTGTTGTTTGGGGTTTTGGGGTTTGGGGTTTTTTTTGTTTGTTTAAGTCCTGTTTCATTTTGCTTTGTTCTGATATTTTTTGAGTTATTAGTCTCTTACTTGCCAGTTTTGATGTTCATTTTCATGGGAGTTTTTTGCATTTGTTTTTGTTTCTTGAGGACTCATTTTTTTTTATTTTAAGAGAGAGAAAAAGAACATACAATTGGTTAGGTAGGGAGAATGACAGAATCTGGGAGGAGCTAGGGGAGGAAAAACATGATCAAAATATATATTATGAAAATTTTTTTCAATAAAACTGAGTTTGCCTCAAAAACCGCTGACTCAGCATTTCATGGTCATCCTTTCAAATAAAAAATGGAAGCAATGTATAATAGACCTTTTATCATAATTCCACATATATAACTAAGGTATATATATATATGTATATATATACATGATATTTAATATTCCTAGAACTTAATATAGAGAATGAGATATGCAATCTTTCATACGCATGAACTATTTACTGATATTTTTTAAACTGTAAATAGCTACTTCTGGGGAACTTGGGACATAGAAACTTGCAAAGGAACTCTTGTTTTTCAGTGTATTATTTTCAGTGTTGGTAAATTATCTTGTTTTTACTCTAAGTAATGATTTTATTTTAGGGAGAAAAATTCCTTATTTGGGGACCAATCATTGTGTCCTTGCATCTATTCAATACTCGGTTCCTTGTTTGTGAGTACCCCTTAAGGAGTGGTCCAAGCTATTCTACGCCTAATAGTGCATAGGACAGGGTCAAAAAGAACACGTGGGATGGGCACCTGAACATCCCTTGATGGCACTGACCACTATACTTGTCACTAAACACGGGAGAGCTTGCATCCATACTCCAAGCCCCTTTTTTCTCCTTACCTGAGCCCTCAGCATCCCCACTCTCTCTTAACCATCAGAAGCAGGAAGCACACAACAACACAAGGATGGTGAGCCTGTGGGCTAACCAACTTGGCTACCACTCAACTGCCCACACAAGCACAAAGCAAGTGCCTAGTTCTAGGCTTGACACAATGTCTACCTACAAGAACTTTGACCATACTTTGAGTATTTCTGACCCCCCCAAAAATAACCCTAGGTCTCTGACTCCATGCCCCCTATCTAAAAGTCCCACAGCTTTAAGAATCTGCCAACAAAAAAAGCCTCCTTGGAGGAACTAGGAACCTGGCAGCTCTTGCTATAGCTAGCCGGTCTCAGACTCAACTGGAAGATTCCTGATTCCAACTGACTCTATGAACACAGCAACCAAGACAGTGCTTGTTAAGGGCGTATTATTAAGTCACAGCAGGGCTTGGTTTCTAGACTTCTAATTCCAGCAGCTGCTAGCTTCTTGTGGTCCCTAGTTCATGTCTTCTCTGTACCAACCACATCATCTAAGAACAGTGATTCTCTCTCCCTCCTTCCCTCCCTCTCTCCCTCTGTCTTGTTTTCTCTCTCCACACATGCCTTTAAGATCTCAGTATTCTTGACAACTAAACCAGAGCTGAGAGCACAGGATGGCCGGGAGCTGGGAACAGGAATACTCTGAAGCCAAGAATATATGGTAACATGGGCATCCTCGCTTTAGCTGCTTAAAACCTGACATTCCTAAAGCCAAGCTCCAAGATATATATGACTATACCATTTTCAAAATTTCATTGAAACCCATATTTTGGGTCTGTCCAGAGGCATTCAGACTCCTAGGATGTACAGAAATGGACACAGAACAGGCTGGACAGGCCTTCCTTTGACTCCACCACCACCACCACATGATGTTTGTGTCAAAATTCTCTCCCTGGCACCTAAGGCAAAGGCAGTGGGGAGCTCAGAAGACATCTGATTTTTGTAAGAGAGAGGGGAACAGAAAGAAATACAGTAAGCAGGGAGAAATACATAGAGAAAGAGAGTTCACCGTGTGCTTAACCACTGACTGATTGCCTGTATACCCACTGTTACCACGGTGCCGGTGCTGGCTAGTTTTATGTCAACTTGACACAAGCTAAAGTTGTCTGAGAGGAGGGAGCCTCAGTTAACAAAATGCCTCTATAAAGTCAGTCTGTAGGCAAGCCTATAGGACATTTCTGATTTAGTGATTGATCAAGGAGGACCCAGCCTATTATGGGGAGTGCCACTTCTGGGTTGGTAGTCCTGGGTTCTGTAAGAAAGCAGGCTGAGCAAGACAAAGAAAGCAAGCCAGTAAGCAACTCTCCTCCACAGTCTCTGTATCAGCTCCTGCCTCTAGGTTCCCGACCCGTCTGAGCTCCTGTCCTGACTCCTTCAGTGATGGACCACAGTGTGGAAGTGCAAGCCAAATAAACCCTTCCCTCCCCAACTTGCTTTTGGTTCAGATGTTTCATCTCAACAATAGAGACCCTAACTATAGCCAAGCCTAAAATGCAGAAGCTAGCCTTGAACGAGTTTCCCCTCAAATACCTCTCTGCTCATCCCTAGGAAGCATCTCCCTTTATTCTGTTCAAAATTGGGAATGGGGTATTAGAACACAAGTCTTTCATAGAGTGAAATGAAAGGTTTTAAGACCTCTGTGGGGTTTGACGAAATGTGTCAAGGCTTGGTAGAGATGGGACCGCTGACTGCCCATGAGTAAAGGAAAACCCTGGTGGCCCTGGACTGGTGAGAGCTGAGAGTTCAAGCAAGCAGGTGGCACCGTGCATGGGTGAGACTGAGTATCAGGGATCTAGAGGATATTTGGATATATTTTGGGCATATTTTTGCAAAACTAAAGATTTTTCAGAAAGCACCAACCAAGAAGTTAACAGCAAAACAAAATGCTAATATCTAGTTTTCCCACGAAGCTAAGGGTCAAGGGACCCTTCCGCTACCATGTGGTCATTCTGAGGCTCCATACATGGTGAAAGTAGATGTGATTGCCTGAGTCCCGGGGACATTTTAAAGATGAGGTCCCCACTAAGCATTTTTTTCACCATAAAATTTTACACCCTGCTTCATGGTATTGATTTATTTTGTGTCCTTTCCAGAATCCCAGCTGCCTTCAAGTAGTGAAGACCCTCCCCTGAAGGGGCCTCTGCCCTCTTTGAATTATGTAATCTCAGCCAGTCACAGGATAGTAAGAGTGACATAGTAATCATTACAAAGCCTGTCTGTATTTTGGGGACTTTAAAGCATTCATTTCTCACAGTGGTAGTGTAAGATAAATATCATGGTTATCCACCTCTGACTGAAGAGGAAACCAAGGTATAACTGGTCCAAGGCCACAGAACTCCCAGCAGCCAGTGCTGCATGGTAGATGCAGAACCCACGGTTTTCCATCACAATTTCCACGTAGCATGTGCATTTGGACTTGGCTTCTTGAGAGAAAGAACACCATTTCTCCCTAAGGCAGGGACTCACCTGGATGTATTTAGGTTCCGATAAAGCTGCCCGAGAGACTCCAGTAACCGCCCCTCCATCTCCCGGTCCCTGAGTTGCTGAACCAGGGCCAGCCAGTGTTCGTGATATGTGATGCACGCATCAGGGTTTGGGGACACCGAGCTGTAGAAATGGCAGAGGGATTTGGTGACCTGGAGCTGACCTGAACATAAAGCAGGGACATGAATGAGACAAGGACAGAGCAAGTGCCGATGCTTTCTTCCCCAATGCTTCCAGCAATATGAGACATACTCACTGTTCAAGTGCCGATGCCTTAGGCCAAACAGCAATGCCATTTCATAACAGAGGCGGCTGTGGACCAGCTGCTGTCCAGACACCAGAGCTTGACCCAACCAGAGTAACACTTGTATCAATTCCATATCTGTCTCCTTGCTGGCTTGGAGTTCAGAATACAGTCGGACAGCTTGCAGGAGATAACCCCTGGCTGACTGCTGCATGCAGGACTTAAGGGTCAAGTGGCCAAGATTGGCCATAGACACGGCCTGGTTACGCACATTCCCCACCTCCCGAGCCCTGATCAAAGCTCGGAGGTAGCTCTTGGCTGCCCTGTTTGTCCGGCCTTCGTCTTGAAACGCAAGTCCCAGGAGGTTATGGACCACGCCCCTCTGCGTCATGCATTCTGTCTCCCTCAAGCAACACAGTAGTGGTTCAAGGATCTCCAGAGCTTTCTTGGTCTGCCTGGCTAAGAGGTAAGCCCAGGCCAGACAGAGAGACGATTCAAAGGCTTCTTGTTCACCTAGTAGCTTCCCTAACGTCTGGGCCTGGCTCAGATAGTAGATGGAACCCTCAAGAGACCTATACTGGAGGTACATTTTGGACAGGATGAGACATAAGGTCCTCTGGGTGCTCGGGTCAGTCTGCTCTTCACAGGCAGCCAAGGCCTGACTGAGGGTTGGACAGGCCAGCGCAGAAACTTCACCCCAGCTTGAGGAAGGAACACCAAGGATCTTAGGGCCATTCTGGAGAATGAAATAGGCCTGCCAAATGGAAAAGGACATCCCCCGGGCACTCTGGGGACCACGTTTCTGAACAGAGGCCACTGCAAGATGTGGAAGGTATTTCTTGTCATACAGAAAACTCAACATGGTGACTGTAGCCTCCGAGGCAGGAGGGTGTCCAGAAAGCAGCTGCAGGCGCTCAGCAAATGGCAGAACTTCCTCATGCCGGCCAAGGCTCAGGAGCAATCGGATGGCCAGGAAGCAGGACCTGGCCTCCAGAGGGCCACTCCCCACCACAATCCCTTGACGCAGCACATAGGCCACCACATCAAGCTCGTTCTTGGCACAGAACTCACGGTCAGGCAGGCAGGCTAGCAGGGCACCTGCCTTTTCAAGCAAGGCCGAGCCTTTATGCCTTAGCCTCTGCCTCAGATAGACGGCTGCCAAATTGATGTACAGAGCAGACACTAGGGAGAGGTCCTCAAACGCCCCGTCAAGGACCTGTATGGCCTCCTCAAAGTATACCCTGGCCTGGGAAAGTTTGATCTTCCTGATGCTTAGTCGGCCCAGGAGGAAGCAGAGCCGGGCGTGGGCCCACGTCATGTGGCTCATCTTGGCCCACTTTCGTGAGGTCTCTAGGTAGGCCACTAGCTCATCCTCCTCAGAGAAGCTGTAAAAGGAGGAAGTAAGGAAAGAGAAGGAGGAATCATAGAGGCTCTTAAAGTGGTCGCTGTAGCCCTCGTGATCCAGGAAAGCCAAGATGGGGGCAAAGTGCTCTGCTTCATCCTCTTCCAAGCTAGTGCTCAGGTCCATGAACAGTTCCGGGTCATCGAGGTCGTCAGGCTCTGGAAGGTGATAGCTGTCAGAGGAGGCCGAGAGGAGCTCTTCCTCGGGGCTGGAGTCCACGGAACTGCTGGAGCGTCTGGAGTCCAGGGTCTGCCGCTCCTCCCAGGCCCCACCAGACCTGGCCTCCTTGAAGCCCTCAGGGTGAGACGCTGTAAGGACAGGCAGAGTTGAGCATCCCTGAGTGTCTGCAACTAGGACAGTCAGCTCCTGGCAAGAGAATAGATGAGCTGACCTGAGGACAAGAGGTCAGGCTCAGTACGGTCGCTACTCACCGCTCAGATCATTCTGGAGATTCTGGATGGATTCGAACTCACCTAGGTAGAGATGAAGGACAGGCCTAGCATTAGGTCAGAACACATCACCATGCCGCTGACCCCTGAGGAGCTTTTGAGTCGAGGTAAGGCTAAGAATGGGCAGTCTTTACCCCCCTCAACATCAGCTTCAGAGTTCCCATCATCCCGTTTAGCTCACACACTCTACAGTGGGGGCAGGTCAGAGAAGAAAATATGGAAGCAGGAAAAAAATGTGAGCATGCAGGGGGGCGGGGGGTGTTAATCTGGGGAGATGCAAGGCCCAAATCTCTCAGTTACTTTATAGCAGAGCTGGAGAGAACCATCATCACAGGGCACCTTCAACAGACTGTGCTGCAGGGTACCATTCCTACTCCCTTCCTGTTCTCTCTCCGCGTCCTGCTTCTTTACTCCATCCTCCCATCATCTACCCATTTGATAGACAGGCGTCCTGTGTGCATTAAAAAGTGCCAAGACTGGGGACCATGAAAGGTCATGTTTAGAGGAACAGAAATGCACCTGAGGCCCCAGTTTGGTTCCCTCAAGTAACCTGATGGGATACACTCTACAGTGTTAAATGCTTAGACTTTGAGCTAGTCGCAGGTCTAAGCAGAGAACGAAGAAGGTCCGGAGCCATGGAGGACAGTAGAAACCGCAAATACAGATTTGTGGCTCACACCAAAACACAAGGAGTCGGCCCAAGTCCCAGAACTGATGTGAGCACACAGGTGAAGGAGTTCAAGAGAAAAGGAAAAAGATGGGGGAGGGGGTGTGTTAATAGGCCCATCGATATTTCCAGGAAGAAACACAGAAAGCAGAGAGCTGAGAGAATCCTAAAGGCCGGGTGACTTATACTAGTTACCCAATGCTCCCGAAGTGGGGAAAATCTAGGTAAGAACCAAGAAGATGCATGGAGTACAGGCAAGGGAAGCATGTTCTTGACTAAAGAGCCCCCCACTAATGGGGCCTGTGGCGGTCAAGGCCACACAGCCCTCAGGACAGCAACTGCTAGAGGGAAGAGTCTACTTTTCCCTGAGAATGCAGCAGCAGTGTGGTTCCCACACCTTGAAGCAGTAGACTCTAGGAGCAGTGGTCCCCATCAAGCCCAGCCTTCTGCTACTCTCCTATGGGGAGAGCTTCTGGGCTCCTCATTGCAGATACTCCAATGTGCAACTTAGAAAGGGTGAAAGGCCCCACCTCTTAAGCTGGGAGAGCGAGGAGTTTGACTTGGAAATCTGTGTGCATGTCCTGGCCTCTCCAATGCTGAAAGACACATGCCCACCTTCATGTGGTCATTTCTCTTGGGGCCAGGATACTGAAAGCGCATGCTGTATCATCACAAGATGGGAGCAGACTCAGAGACTCTCTCCTTGCCCAGGGCATCAGCCCTAAAACAGCTGGCATTAGCTAAAAATCTGGTTCCCCTACTGCCTGCCTTGATGCTGGGGTCTATACAAGCATCAGGCATAGCCCACAGCCAGCCAAGTTGACTCCTGCTCTTTATACAAGTAGTGACAGGCTTCCTGGGATCTGCTTTTGGATCTTCCAGTCAATGGGCCAGCAGTAAACAGACACCTTGGATCCATGTCTGTCACAAACCACTGCTGCCCTCCCTGCTCCCTGAGCTCTGCTTCCCCCACCAGGAGGGAATCAGAACTTCAGTTTCCTGGCTGAGCCCCGCAGATCTGCTACAGTGAGAATGTTTAGCTAGGGCTCAGTGCTGATATCTGGGTTTTGCACTCCTCACAAAGGCTCCTATACATGAAGAGAACCTCGAAACCCCTCTCTTCCTGGGAACTGATCTGAGAGTCCCTTGTGGAGAATCTCTGGCTAGTGCCATGAAATGTCAACCGTCTAATGCAGTCACATAGAAGCAGACATGTCACTACCACTGAAACGGAGGGGACAAGGAACCCTTCCTCAGCCTTATCAGTGAGAGTAATCGTACTCCTTCACAGAAAGCAGTGGGTCTTTCCCATCATAAGGAAACTGTTATCATTTATTTGTTTACCATTCATTCATTCATTTATTCATTCATTCAGCGTTGCTAAAAACTATGCTAGGCAAGGTAGAGCCACCCCTAAAACTGATACATCCAGCAACTCAGGGTCATCTTGTATCCAGGGCAGTGTGATGAAATAGGTTGTCCTGGCTAACAGTTGTCCTGGGTCATGTGCTAATATTCTTGGGCCTCAGTTTACTGATCTTTAAAACAAGGGTTGAGATCATCTCTGAGATCTCTTTCCAGTTACTTGTGGGATTTCTGAATTGGTACCTAGTCAGCCCTGTGACCTTTAGCCATGACTCAGGAAGTGCTTCCTTTCCATGGGATAAAGAGTCAATACAGCTGACCATCCAGGGTAAAAGCAAGCTGGTTTCATGTGTCACAGTTGCGAGATAACACTATGTATTCAAGCGAGAAAGATCTGAAATCTACAGAGAAACTCCGCTAATCAAATATAAATCAAATGAACAATGATTGCAGTCCCAAACTCCTAAACCGGGTTAGAATGTAGAGAGCACTGGCTATATAGGCTGCTTTCTAGCCTTTAGAAAGCCTGCGCTTTTTCCGAGTCTGAGGAGCAACACTCACTAAGCCGGTAGACAGAAGCGATGTCAGTGTGAGCAAGCGCACGTAAGAAGCCGGAACACTCAGCCTTCCTGTCACTTCCAGGGGCCCAGAGAGAACATCTTTCCTCCTCACTGAAAAAGGCAGAGTTCTTGCTCCTGGATGAGGCAGAAAATAGACACAGGTTAGCGCTGGGCTTCCCCACCTCCCTCTCTCCACGCAAGGATGTAAAGCTTAGCGAGGCGGGCTCGTCCATGGTTGGCACCAATTCCTCACTGGCGCAAGCTGTGCTTCACTGCGGGAGAAGAAAGGGAAGTTGGACGGTGGTAAGTGGGTCAAGCAGAGGTGGAAACGCCCCATCTCCCCTGAGAAAGAAAGTCCTGTCCCTCAAACCCTAAGGGCATCGGTTTGAAACAGGAGTGACAGGAATTGGTACCTCAAGGACCAGGATTTAAGGAAACCCTGATAAGTTCCTTTCTCCTTCGTTTATTTCCAGGAAGTCGGGCACAAATCGTACCTGTCTAGAAGAACAGCAAAGAAAGCTCCCCTGTGACCAAAAGGAACACTACCCAGTTGCTAAGATTTGACTTCACGACACAGAACAGCACTATGCAACACTAGGAAAGGAAAGGAATTACTAGGGAACGGGGAGGAGGGGTGTGGCTGGAAAAGCAATCATATCCTGAAGACCTTTTTGAGCACAGCCTATGTGTGACCTACCTGTAAGGACTCATTTGCTTCTTAGGGGTGATTTTGAAAACTACAAATGCCTGACAGGGCACATCCCATATTTAGCTGGTCATGCTGCAAGATCCTTCTCAAGACAGTGCGCGACCCCTGAAATCCCAGCACTCCTTGGGAGGCTGAGACAGAGGAATGCTTTGAATTCAAGGTCACCCTGGACTACGTGGTGAGTTCTAGACCAGCCAGCCTGGGCTACAGAGTGTGACTGAGACAGGAGAGTAGGGCAGAGGGCAAGGTCAGGAAAACCTTGGGCAAAAGCAGCAAAATTAATATAGGAGAAAAACAAAACTGGCAATGAGGAAAGCCAGGCACCCTCACCCACGCACCTCACACCCCACACCCTCAGCCAAGGCCATCTAGAACTGGTTGGAGCCACTGCTGCAGGTGCAGAGGCATGCCAGAGTGTCTGAAGGTGACCAGCCTGCAGCTCATTATAAACTTCATATTAACAGAGAGCGTACACCAAGAAGCCAACCCTGCCCAAATGACTCCCCCAAAAATTTATGACTGGAATGTAAAGAGCCCCATTCTTTGTATCATGCCATCCTTTCAGAGGCTAAAAACTTCCTCCTGCTCCGGCTGTCTTCTAACCTTGAGAGCATCTTTCTCCTTCTGCTACTGTCCACTGCACATGCCTGCTCAGTTTCTTGCTCTAAACCTAAAAATCCCAGCAGATGCTTCTGAACCCCAATGTCCACAGAATCATTGTGCCCAAAGAGAACACAAAACACAGAAATATATATATATATATAGTACCAAACGATTTAAAACCAAATTCTTCAAAACCCCCAAATGCATAGCAGCTAATATGTTTGAAGGATGTTACCACACTGTTGTTTAATCTCCACAGTTGCTCTTTAGGCAGGGACTAGTCTTACAGATAAAAGCCTTACAGATTAAAAAGAGTTAGAATTGGTGACTGAGAAGTGAGAGCCTCTCTAGTCAGGGTAGGGATCTAGAGAAACGGGGATGGGTGGTTGTGATCTGTCCCCGTAGCCTAGGCAAGAGCAGCTGGAAAGCGGGCAACAGGCCAGCGGCTGCAGGGACTGCTCGAGGTTGCTCCCCTCCTCCCTGGCAGACTGCACAAGAGCCCTGCTCTGACACCTGGTTCACAGTACTTCCCCCACAGGTGTGAGCCCCACTCTTGGATTGGTCTGGTACACAGTACTTCCCCCACAGGTGTGAGCCCCACTCTTGGCCTGGTCTGGTTCACAGTACTTCCCCCAGAGGTGTGAGCCCCACTCTTGGCCTGGTCTTCAGAGTCCTCCTATTACCCTCAATTTTTCAGCCTCAGAAGAGTATATGACTAAAACCTTGAGTTGAGATATGAGTATCTCTAAGGGGTCTAGAGCTATGGCTCAGCGGTTAAGAGAGCATACTGCTCTTCCATAGGATCTCAGCCCAGTTCGCAGCACCCACATTGGGTGGCTCACAACCACCTGTAACTCCAGTTCCAGGGGATCCAACACCCTTATCTAGCCTCTGTGAGTAGCAGCATGCACACGGTGCACATCTGTTCACGCAGGCTCACACAGGTATGCATAAAAAAAATAAAGGCTGGGAATGGTGGCACACACCTTTAATCCCAGCATTCAGGAGGTAGAGGCAGACAGTTCTTTATGAGTTCAAGGCTAACTTGGTCTACAAAGGGAGTTCCAGGACAGCCAAGGCTGTTACACAGAGAAACCCTGTCTCAAGAAACCATCACCAAAAAAGAAAAAAGAGAAAAGAAAAGAAAATGTTTGGGGGGCTGGAGAGATAACTAACTGGTTAAGAGCACTGACACTGACTCTTCTCTCTGAGGACCCAAGTTCAATTCCCACCACACACATGGCAGCTCATAACTATCTGTAACTCCAGTTCTAGGGGATCCGACACCATCCCACAGACATACATGCAGAGAAAACACCAGTGCACATAAAATAATAAATCATTAAAAATAAAATAAATAAATTTTAAAATATATATTATATATGTGTCTATATTATATATGTTTACATATTATTTGTTTTTATATATTGTATGTGCTTATGTATGTGTGTGTATATATATATATAGCTTTTGTAGACGCTGTAAATGTTACAATATATTCTGAATTTATATGATCATTTGATATTCATAACAACTCTTTGTAATTGTTTTTTGTTTGTTAATTTGTTAATTTGTTTTTAATCCATGTTTGCTGATGAATGTGACTCAGGAGCATGTTCAGAATTGTACAGTTGGAGGGTGGTAAAGCCAAGACTGAAAGTGGCGTCTTGTCCGTCAGCATCCATGTCCTGACTTGGAGCTGATCTGCCAGCACCCTGACTTTAAAAAGAATCCAAGAGACAGAGCAGCCTACATATTATGGATTTCTAAACACAAAAATGAGCTAGTGAACATGGCAAAGCACCTAATGACATGGCATGCGTTCCTAGGTTACTCTACCCCACACACATTCAAAACCTGGAAGACCCATGAAAAAGAAAAGTAGTTTAACAACCTCTTAAAGTTTAAAAGAGGTAGGAGAAATCTCAAGGATGCAGAATATAAGGATGAGAGGTGATAGCAAGTGTCCCAGAGACTCTAGCAGTTTAGTTGAGTTATAATCACCCTCCCTCCCTGGCCAGGGACAGAAAACTTGATCTTAACTCTGTGTATGAGGGAGTTGGACATAAGCTCTTCCCTAAAGCCCACAGTCTAGAAACACAGCAGTTTCCTTACATGGAACTGCAAAATGTCTTAATGCCTGCCATTCTGGTCACACCTTCCACCTCTGTGAGTCCTGCATCCCCAGTGCCTACACCATTGGAGGGTGTGGCATCCTAGCGAACATGGTGCAATGCAGGCACCGCAGAGACTGCAACGTTATAGGACCTGGACCATGAGCTGCTCAGATTTCAAGAGAAGCAAATGTAGAGATGTCTCCTGGCAAGGAGGTGTTCTTTGCTGCCGAATTCATGCAAGGCCCACATTTCAAAAAGATGTTGAACACAGTTCACGTAATAAAAAACTGCAAACCAAGAAATATAAATTATGAAAGAAAACCAAAAGAATCCCAAAGTTAATAAATACTGCAAATTAGAAGCCATGATCATTTGAAGTCTGACTTACAGTAAGCCTGGTTAAAACAAAGAAACAAGAAATGAAGAGGTGAGACTATGAAGGCTGGATGGTTTTCGGAGCCACAGCCCTCGGAGGCAAAGGCAGCTCTGCAAATGGAAAGCAGAGGCGAGCACACTAAGAGGGGCAAAGATGAGTTAGATGGCAGCTCAGTTGTAGCAGAAGAGAAAAGAATCCCCCAGGATGTGGCCTCAAGTGACAAAAAGGTGACTGGTTACAAAAAAACAAACAAACAAACAAAAAACTGATTCAGCAAGATTGATGATAGACAAGTCCAACATACCTCCGCCAGGATTCCAGGAGAGAGGCTAAAAGATTGAGAGGGGGCAATATTCAAAGGGAGAATGACTGAGAAGTTTCCAGAATTGGAGAAAGACACGATGAGTCTTCAAACTAAAGAAGCACACCAAGTCCTGGGCGAAACAAATAAAAATAACATTTTTAACAAGGAATCCATTTCTGAGAGGTCTTTCCAAGTTATCGACTTCTTGTTTGTTTGTTTGTTTGTTTATTCTTACTTATGGGTTCAACTATCCACAATGTAAGTATTTCATTTAATGACATAAAGGAAATATAAATGATGGCCGGGCAAAGGTGGTACACGCCTTTAATCCCAGCATTCCAGAGACAGAGGCCAATAGATTGCTGAATTCAAGGCCAGCCTGGACTACAAAGTAAGTTCCAGGACAGTCAGGACTATGTGGAGAAAATCTGTCTTGAAAAAACAAAGAAAAAAGAAAAGGAAAGAAAAAAAGAAAAGAATATAAATAGTAAGAACACACATCTGAAATAAACCAAAGGAAGAAGAAAATAATTAAGGCAAATGTTATAATCAACAGCGCAGAAAACAAAGACAGTCAGCAAAAGAAAACATGGTTCTCTAAAAACACTAATAAAATAGACAAAGCCCCAGCACGATGTGCTTGTATTTTTTTTTCTTGCTACTTTCGCACACACACATTCTTTGAAGACGCTAGTCTATGCCTAGGCAACTTATCATTCAAGAGTATTTCATCCAAACAAGGGCTGAGGACTGACAGTCTTGCAAGTTGTGGAATCACAGTGAAAGTAACTGCCAGAGAGTGAGAGTGAGCATCCACAGTCAGCAGGGTTTAATCTGCTGTCAACACCTGATAGCAACTGCTCTCGCCTTGGTAAAACTGTAAAACAGCAAGTTCTGAGAGGAAAAAAGACTGCCTACCTGCCAAGAAACAGCCGTGACACTAACAGCATAATGCTGAGCAGCAAAAGTCGATGTCACGAGAAATAGAATTATAAACAGAAAAGCTATAAAGCATAAAAGAGAAGA